TCAATTCGTCAGCACTCAAGTGGCTGCCCTAGCATTAGCCAGGCTCACTTGTATTGCATGCAGCCGCCAGTTGCCACAGCGCCTCGTTTATGACCTCATTGCTTGCATGACGAAGGTGAATATCAGCACAACCACCAATCCTATCACAATCCCTATCCTAGCTGCTACTTCTAGCACTGCTTCATTGGCGAATGCTGATGAGGTATCCATTATCCCAGCCTTTGTAGTGAGCCACTGCGTTGACCCAACACTATCTTTTTTGTATTCCTTTTCTAAGCCACCAGTTGATTCTGGAGAATTGGAGGCTGGAGCATCAGCAGCAATGCCAAGTGTGAATAGTGCTCCCGGAGCAGATCCTTCTTCTGCCAGCAACCTCTTACGCATTTACAGCGAATATCTGCTCAACGTTTATTTGCAAAGTGATCCAGACACTCGATGGTGTTCTAATGGCTGTGGGTGAGCGGTATTCTTTACAAGAATAGCATTTTACCTAATTTATTTCCATGATCAGATCTTTAATAAAGTTCTTTCTATTTTTGTTCGCTAAATACATCGCTTGATATATGGTGTTAAAAGGCTTTGCCAAGACTATACTCCCTTTTAATTGAATAGAAGGCCTTTCAATCTAAAATAATAGCGAGATATATTCCAAGGGGCTGATTTAACCATGCTGGATTGCCGTTTGGATGTTGCCTGGGTTCTATCAGCACTATAAATTAAATTTAGACTGCGTATTCATGCTTAGAGGAACCGTTTATTCCAATTTCTTTACGATACTGGTGAAACTGGGTTAACTAACAAGCATGGCTTTGAATTCAAAGCAGGCGTTTCAACTCACTCTCAATGAGGTACTTTGTATAGATAGACGACCGTCTATTCTCCATTATCTCGATAAGTTATCGATGCCTTGTTAGAATTCATGTGATAGTCGTTATCATAAATCCGACATTTGCGAGAGACTAATTGATTTCTTTCCTGTCTAATAAAACAAGCTACGTTAAAACTCGGTGCGAACGGCCTCTACACTTCATATCGCAATCAATTTATGCGAATAAAAGTTGGGTTTCAAGGAATCTTTTGCTTCATAATTGTTGAGCCTACTTCCATTTCTAGTCAAAGTGTTGGATTAAGAGATTCGAAGGTCGGTTCAACCATAAGACGACGGCCGATTCCTCTTGACCAGCTGTCGATTGACTTTACTGGAAGATT